ACCCCCTTTCTTTCCCTGCCCCTGAATATGGAAAAGACGCTGCATTATTTGAACTCTTTGTTGGATGGAAAGGCATATACTTGAAAACCCTAGGATTTCTCTTTATGGATACACAAAGAACAGAAGAAACAGCATAGAATCACCAGATCTCACTGTCCTTCCATCTACTGAACCTCACACAAGAAATCATAAAACAAACCTGATACTCTGAATTGCTCACAACCCATGACTCATTTCAAAAAGCAAAGAACACTACCAAAAATCTGACACTATTAAAAAAATGTGGTAAGAGATTGCTCCCTAAGGGAGCATTTAGCGAGACAAGATTAAGCAGTACTGCATAGGATGAGAGGGATAAGGTTGTAGCATGGGGGATGGTGGAAAAAATGCTGGTTTAAACTGATTAAAAACTTGTTCCTTGTGCTGAACACCAGTAAAACCGGGGTTACCACTTCCAGCCCATGCATCAAATGCTACATAAATCTATCTCCATCAGAAGCATTTAGGAGTGTGGCCTTATGAGGCTTTGTTACAAGTGCGCCAATGATATTCATTTACTGGAGATTGCTGCACTTTTTACTGTTTTTTTTTTTTTCTGTGGCATTCATATTTCCCTGTTATTTTCCTTATTAGATGGGAGAAAATAGCTATGGTTCTCTGGCCTCGTATTCTTTGTCTAAGCTGTATGAAGGGTTAGTACATTGTGCTCTTGAAAGCCGTGAATTTTGTTTTCTTTGACTTCTATACTGTTCATCCAAACTGATTTCCTGCACTTATGCAGATTGCCTCCACCCTCAACTCTTGAAATGTTGGTGCCTGCTAATGCAGTTGGTAAAGTGATTGGTAAAGGAGGAGCAAATATAGCCAACATCCGAAAGGTTTGTTCATCCCTTTTGTCTTTTCTTCCTAGATCTTTCCTAGGGAATTTTAGTGAATTACTCTTGTATTTTATGAGAAGGGTGCAATAACTATTTGTAGTGATACATTTCTGTGGCTTGTTATAAATTAATAAATAACATGATTGCGTGGTAGATTCATGCCAGGGATTTGTTTTTTAATTATGTCCTTTTAGTCTAATGGAAAATGTGGATATCTGCAACCAACAACGAGTATATCTTACTAAGGTTTGTTAAGTAAAAATCTACTGAATTATTCCACTCGCATAAGAAAGGAAGTTAGCTATCCAGCATTCATGACAGTGAATTATGGGGTACGGTGTTTGGATTGTGAATACAGTTGGCCAACTCGCCAGATGCTTGTTGCTTATCAGTAATAGCTTTGCTTGGCTTGTTAAAAATTAATAAATAGCATGAGTGTGTGGTAGATTCATGCTAGGTATTTGTTTTTTTAATTATAGCCTTACAGTTTGGTGGCAAATGTGGATATCTGCAGCCATGAAGTGAAGTATATCTTACTGAGGCTGGTTGTGTAAAAAATTATTGAAATATTCCACTTGCATAAGAAAGGAAAGAAGTTAGCAATCCAGCATTCATGACTCTGAATTATTGGATATGGTGTTTGGATTGTGAAAACAGTTTGCCAACTTGTCAGATACTTGTTGGCAGTATCACTAATGCCTTTGCTTGGTTTGGTCCATCATGTAAGGCTATTAACAGTCCACCAGCGTACCTTGCTTCCTCTGTATCATGTGTTTATTTGTTTTCAAGTTGCCACTCAGTAGCTTCAGGGCACAACGGATTAATTAGTATGTAGTAATGAGTCACTGTTTGGATTGTTAAAGTTTCTTCTTGAGAAAAGCTGGGATGCAGTACCTGGTCATAATACATTTAATAGACCAGAAATTTTCATGTCAGCTAGAGTTTGTGCAATGATATTTTGTTATTATGCTTACCATAATACAAGCATTTGATCTTCATGTTACTTCTATTTAATTTAAAAAAATAACAAACATGGGATACAAAAGGTGTGAATCTTGGCTTAATATATGCATCTTTTCTAAAATTTTCATTTGTTTGTACATTGATAATGTTCAGAAAATATTTTGAAAACTGCTTTTATCAGTGCTTTTTTCCCCTATCATTGCTTTCAATCTTCTTTGATTGGATGGAGTTCTCATGGGTATCAGTTTTGTTTCTTCCTTTTTTATGTTTTACGACATTTCAGATATCAGGAGCAATGATAGAAATCTCTGATGCCAAGTCAGCAAGGGGTGATCGTATTGCTTATATATCTGGCAAACCAGAGCAAAAACAGGCTGCTGAAAACTTGATCCAGGCATTTATTATGGCCACTTAAGCCTCGATAATATTTCCAGATATTTGAAGGTGAAAAGTAAAAATCTTGGAATTCTCTTCCCATCTTCCTCAAATGTTTCCTTAGCCTCATCAGGTTTCATCTTTAGTTGACTTCGTTTTCTAGGCTTCAATAGCTGGGATCTTCCTGTTTCTTATAAACATGCCTATGAAGATCAAACAGGAAGATATGCAAGTGGCTTAATATCCCTGTTGATAGGTTCCTGTCTATGTTTGCATGATTGATTCTTCCATCTGCAGATCTTAGAACATTGTAGGTTCTTTCCTTTCGTTTTGTTTTACCAGGTCCTATCATTAAGCTGTGGGAAGTCCATCTTATTTCCAGCAGTTTTTATACTCTGATTTCCTGATCACCCCAGGAATTACTTTCAGTAAACCATATTGCCAAACTCATAATGTATGTGTGTTGTTTTCTGGCCGTGCTATCTCATTCTCTACTTCTTTTAGGAGGGATCTTTTCTACTGATGATGCAAGTTGTTGCATTTGTGATGACTCTCTACTCGATTTCCTCTGTTTTGAATTGATAGTATGGTATCATAATAGGCATTCACTCTTGCTTATGGAGCCCAGTCTTTCTTCATCCTCTTTCCTTCATTTTGGAATCTCATGTCCTCTTTCTGTCTATGAAGAGCTCATTGTAGAGATTAAATTGTCAATTTGCTGCATACCGTTTAGTTTCTGGGCTTTATTCCCGTTTTAACTTGTATTTCTAGCAATTTAATATATCAAAATCTTTCAGGGTTCGTTTTTAAAAATGCCCGTAAAATTTACTCCAAATATCATTTTTCCAGCTTTCAGGTTTCCTTGGGTACAAATCACATGAATGTACTTTCTTAATTGATGTGTTTGAACAGTGAGGGTCCATATTCACCAATCAGCTATTTATTCTAGAACAACTTGGTTTGTGCTTTCTTCAGCAGCAAACGTCTCTGTATCTTGTATTGAGATAGTTTCATGGGTTATAGGCAGTCACTGGTTTCTTTTTATGGTGATTCTTCTGACTGGGGATGTGGGTCGGTCCATTATTTTTCTTGTGTATGACACAATATGCAAGCTTCACCAAGATGGTTATGTTTGTTTTGCCAATAGAAATAGCTCTCATGTCCTAAAACATCTTCTAGTCGCTATACCAACTCTACTAAGATTGTGGGAACTTGGAAGTAGTGTGCTGCTACTTGTGTCCGCAGATTTCCACTGCAAACATGAGCCATATTTATTGCAACTGTTTGCGCAATCTTAAAATATAAAAATGCTCTGGGTTTAATCTGACCAATCCAACCTTCTCCTTTTCCTTTTTTTCTGTATATTTTCAGTTATGTCAGAAAGTTCACAATCAGCTGCTCTTATTCAAGTTCTTTGAATTGAAAATATCCTAGGATGGGCTCAATTGTCAGAGTGGTAGACTTTTCCATCTTGGGTTTGATACATCATTTTTTTTTTTTAAAGAATGAGGGGTCTTGAACCTGGGCACTCTAATTGCAGGCTTCAGGCTTGAGTTCTTCATCACTTGACTTCATAAAGCAGCGCTTCCCCCTTTGTAGTGTAATCCAAAATCATGGTTTCTCTAACGCGTTGTTATAAATATAAACATGCTATCCTCTTTAATCTGAATAATCCACCCTTTGTCTGCTCCTTTTTCTTCCCATATAAGTGGCCGGCTGTTGCCGTGGATTCCTGATGATCAAGTGATCTCACTCTAGTTCTTTTACATTGAAAATCTCTAGGGGGAGTACAATTTTCCATGTCTATATTGCCCTTCTAGGTTTTTGTACTTGTTGAAGTTGAACGTATAATTCAAAAGCACTGTTTCTTTTTTACTTGACAGTGTTTTTATGGTTGATAGTGGTGGCCTTCTCTCTCTTCAAAGTCCTTGTCGATAGTCATTTTCAAATTTCTTTGGCTTGCCCTGTTCTGTTTTTCATGCTTTGAAATTGATAACCTTAAAGATGGTATCTGGTGAGTATGTGGTAGATACCACTATTATGGATATGCATATGTGGTAGCAGAGTAAGGCAATTTGGATATGGTAATAGTTTGTACATTCATATAGTTGTCCTGAAGACAAACATTTAGACAATTTTGTATGTATTTTAGTGGACAGATAATTTGTTGCACACTATTGTATGAAAACTATGGTAGCAGTTGCTATCTTAAAGAACCAGTCTCGTCTGTGTTTGTAAGACAGGAGGAAGTATCTTATATAGTATAGTGGAATTTATCATGGTAGCTCTATGACTTAAAACAAAAGGATGCTTAGGCCTTTTCTTGGTTGACCCTATAGTAGAAATTGAAGCTGGATAAAAGAATGCGAATCATGTGATGTTCATACTCGTAGTTTCTTGCTGGCCATATCAGTTGCAGCTTTCAAAATATTCAACCATGGTGGCTCTTAGATCTGTTGGTCCTATTTGTGTATTGTTTTGTATGATTAATAATTTTGCTAATGCTGATTATGCCGGTATGGCTACTTCTTTTGTGAGTTATTTTGAGAGATTAACAGGGGGTTGCTGCCATTCCTACTTATCTGAACTTAATTTAACCTCAGTGATACGTTCAGTTATTTTGGAGAAATTAAGCAGTTTCTGTTATTTAGATTTTGTGCTCGTTTGATTGGTTGTTGAGCTGTTGAAAGGTTTTGATTGGCTGACTAGAAAGAGATTTTAATTCTTTCACATTTTAAGAGGGTCGTCTGCTGTTATGTTGCCATTTAGTTTGTCTTTAGCCCTCACCTTCTTCTTTATATGAGAATCAGGTCTCAAGCTTGTCAATCACATGCTGAAGAAGAAAAAAAATCGTAAGAGAATAATTTTGCTTATAAGAGATACCGAAGTACGGACCAGAGGTAGACGTAGAGGGCAAACGGACATGGGTAGGGAAAAAAGAAAAAAATAAATAAAAGCAGCAGCACTGGGATGGGTGATAACTTAGATCATGATATACAGCGGGATGGATTGGATTAAATTTTAAACATGAAAAATATATCCGGGTGTTGATATGTTTTTTAGAAAAAAGAAAGGTTTTTAATTATATGAGATTCATATGGTTGATTGGTAAATTTAAAAACAAAATGGATAACCTATAAAAATAGAACTTGACTAAAAAAAATAAGATTTTTTTTTTAAATATTAAAATGATAATGTATTAAATTAATTTATATCAATTTAATTTAATTTATCAAATTTGCTACTTAGGATATAAGGTCTTCATAACCCAAAGGAAAATAAATAAATTTTTTTTTTATTAAATTAAATTTTCAATTAGTTTAATATTAAAAATAAAATTGAAATAAAATCCTGCTAAAAAAAGAGTTGAGTCGACTTTGATTATCTATTAAATATAAATCATAAAATGAGATGAGACTAAAGTAAATCAATATTAAACTTAATTCTTAAATAATATAATATTAAAGAATAAAAAAATCAATTTAAAAAATATGAAAAATCATTAGAGTCAGCGACCAACCTTGTGGAGCGAGTTCTAAGACAAGGATAGTCTTATAAAACGAGTTGAGTTGACTTTGGTTAACCTGCTAAACATGGATTATGAGATTAAGATAATCTTATAATAAGCAAATCAATATAAAATTCAATTCTTAAATAACATAATATTGAAAGATAAAATTAAAAAAGTTAATTAAAAAAATAGAAAAAATTACTAGAGTAAACCAACCAAACTTGTGAAGCCAATTATAAAATAAGAATAGCCTCATAGAACATGTACTGAAATGAATTATGAAAGTTAATTTTAAATTAAATTAATATTGAAGGATGAATTTGAAAAAAAAATCAACTAAAAAAAGAAAAAAAAACCTAAGTCAATCGACTTAACTCATGGCTCGGGTTACAAGACTGTGATAACCTCATATAAAGCAAATTGAAAGAATTATAAAGCCCCATTTCCAATCAATTCAATGTTAAAGGACTAAATTGAAAACAAATAAAAAAATAACTTGAGCCAACTTGAGTTAACTTGTCAAATTTAAGTTAAGAGACCAAAATAATTCCATAGAAAGCAAATAAAAAATTATAAAATTTAATTTTTAATCAACCAAATATTAAAAAATAAAATTAAAAAAAAATACTTGAGTCAACATTACTAACCAACAAAACTCGCAAGCTGAGTTATGAGATCATGATAACTCTACACAAAAGCAAATAAAAAATAATTATGGTTTTTTTATTTTTTTTAATTTCATACTTCAACATAAAGTTTACTAGGTATAAGACTTAATAATTTATTTTGATTTGTTTTCTATGAAATTATCTTGGTTTCATAACCAAAGTCACGAGTTTTGCAAGTTAACTGTGTTAACTCATATTAATTTTTTTTGTTCATTTCTTAATTATTTCTTTTTTAATTTTATTCTTTAATATTGAGTTGATCGAAAGTTGTAATTTATAATTTTTCTTAATTCGCTTTCCAAGGAGTTATCTTGATGTTCTAACCTTTCGAGTTAGTTTTTTATACTTTTTTTATTTGAACCTTTTCAATTTAATCCTTTTAAAATTAAGTTGACTGAGAATTGTAATTTATAATTTTTTTATATTTAATTTATGTGAAGTTATCACGGTCTTATGATTAGGGTTGGTGATTAGGTTGATTAACTCGAGTTTTTTTGTTGTTTTTTATAGTTTTTTTTTTTAATTTCATCCTTCGATATTAGGTTGATTGAGAATTAGAATTCATAATTTTTTTTTTTGTATTCTATGAAGTTATTCTAGTCTCATGACTTAGGTCATAGGTTTGGTCAGTTGACTTAAGTGGTTTTTATGTCTTTTTTTTAATTGATTTTCTTAACTTCATCTTCAATATTGATTTGATTGAGAATTAAGTTTTATAATTTATTTTGATTTGCTTTTAATAAAGTTATTTCAGTCTTACAATTCATGTTAACTCGAGTTGACTTAATTTATTTTTTTAGTTAAATTTTGTTTTCAGTTTCATTATTTAATAATAAATTGATTGAAAATTACATTTAATAATTGTTTTATTTTCTTTCTCCAGGATTATTAAGGTTTTATGATCTAAGTAATGAATATTTACTTCAACATGGATAATTATCATTTGAAGAAAAAAATTATCAATACAACATGATCACCAAAAAGTTTAGGAGCAGTTGAAGAAGACAATCAATGTATGATGCTAAGCAGATCATGCAGCTGATGAGTGAAAATATATAATACAGTTGATGGTTGGTTTGTTCCAAAATCTGAAGTCATGGCTAGTTTCAAAATCTTATTTCAACATGTTAGTGAAAAAAATGCATGAAGGATCTGGTTTTGTACACCAATTTAAGATTTTAGACACTCATAATTTCCCAGAAGGTCCAAAGCAAATTCATTCAACATACATACATACATACAAGTATTTAACTCTTTTTTTTCCCTAAATCCAAATTAATTTTAAGTATAACAGTACAAAGTATCAGTTGAAATACTAAAAGTACGAAAAATCATATGTAAATCTTAAAATAAAATTGATTGCAAAAATACTTGAAATGTGAGTGATATCCTAAGACGCTATTATAGAGCTTGCAGCTTATTATGAAATAAAGTGACCCACAAAATTTCAATGAACACAAAAGAAATGAAGGAAAAAGAAAAACTATTTTTTTTAATATATGAACAGAGATAAAATTCTAAAGGGATACAAGCTATGACATAAATACATTGCACTTTGATTATTGTATTATATGATGTCATGTTAAAAACAGTGTTTGGTAATTGATTATTATATTATTCAGAAAAATAATGTTTGGTTAAATCTTATTATAGTATTTTTGAGATATTAAGTGATTGGCCAAGACAATAGCATATTAATAATATCTTAACAAATATATTCTATTTATATTCAATGATTTATAATTCTTTAATCTTTCATGTGACCCATGTGCATGGATGCATGTGTTTGCTATTCAAGAAATTATCAAGTCTAAGAAAATTTAAAAGTTAAATAAGTTTTAAAAAATATAATAACACAAACACACACATCATTTCAAAAAAAAAAAAAATTCAATATTAGGTTTAGATGGCATACCTTAAAAGTTTACTCAAAACTTAGTTTTGAACTCTTTTTTTTTTTCAAAAAAAAGATTTAAATTAGCTTTGAATTTTAATATTTTTTTAATATGGATGGCATCCCCTTCTTTATCCTTGGAACCTCAAGAATGGGGGCGATACAAGAACCCCAACGCTAACAAACAAAGAAAAAGGGAGAGCAATTAAATTTGCTAGTCATTGCATTGCGTCAATACATGCCCCTCCATGGAGGTCGTCTTGCCCTCCTTTGCCTCTACTAAAGATAATGGATTGAAATTGCGTTTTGCATCATTCATAATTTTTAAAATGTCTAGATAATCAACAAGCATGGATTTGCATGAATCCCACTGAAAATATTTTTGAAATCTTGGTTATGAAAAAGCTACAACTTATAGTTTTTTTTTTAATTTATTTTTTTTAAACAGTAACAGCAAAAGCTGTCATAATATCAAATACACACCGATTAAAATAGAAAATACATTACTTAAAAACACGAGTACAGAACAGAAAAATCCTCAAGACTAGTCATCTAAACAATTGAATATAAAAGAAGTGGGACTAGCATCAAGCCACACCCAAAACATTTTAATTTTAAGTCATTGAAGTTTCAGAATTGGATATTATGGAGTAAATCCATCCCAATGGTCACAAAGACCATACAAGAGTCGGAAAGATCTCAACAATGTGTGCTTTTGGTTGCTATGATTGTTTACTCTTCCATTGCATCACCTCCTTCGGTCACTTCCACTTTCTCCTTCAAGGAGGTAATCTTTGTCATGAGAACCTCTGTAACCAGACAAATAGCAAAATTAACCCACAAATTGTCAATGTTGAAAAAATCAACGTTATCATGCTAGAGCAGACAAACAAACAGGAGTAATCACAGGGCTCAACTACACTTCTTGCTGAAACGGCAACATTGACAAGTCTAAAACACTATTCTACGGATTAGATAGTTGATATTTTATTTACTTCGGTAGCAGCCACACAGCTTTGATACACTGTACTGAAGGCACAACAGACCACTAATACGTAGAAACATGCTAAACTATGGTACTTTACTTCAATTCTTTTGGAAAGCAAGAAATAGCAACAACATTGAGCAAGTCTTGTGTAATAGGATTCTTCCCTCCCTCCAAGCATTGGGGATCAATACCATTTCATTAAAAATATAGAACAAAAAATGGT